GTGGAACTCTCTGCCTTGGATTGTGGTGGAGGCTCCTTCTTTGGAAGCTTTTAAACAGAAGCTAGATGGCCATCTGTTGGGGATGCTTTGATTGTGCTTTTCCTGGATGGCCCATGTGCTCTCTTCCAACTCTATGATTCTGTAACAACCAGTCAAAATAGCATATCTGCCCCTTGTTTCTTCGTAACAGCTAATATACCACGTGGCAGTGCTCCAAATCTCTTGTTGTATATCTGTATATGAAAACAAGTGCTGAACTTTACATTAGAAAAAAATAATCCTGGTTCTGTGCCAGTGTTTTGAACATTGACTTTGGACTCTTGCAGACAAACTTTCCAATTCTACTTAGCCAGGGAAACTCATACATTGGTTGTAAATTCTCTTAGCCTCAGAGGAAGGCAATGGTGAACTGGTGAACCTCTTCAGAAGGTTTTTTTTTTAAAAAAAAAACAAACCAAAAAAACAAACAAGCATGCTATAACATTTCCATAAGTCAGAATCAATTTGGAAGTGAAGAACAAAAAAATTATGCCACTACTGTACTAAAATTACTACAAACTTCAGCCCTCTCTCCAGGTGTTTTGGACTTCAACTCCCACCATTTCTAACAACCTCAAGCTCTTTCCTTTCCCCCCTCACCCATTAAGCTGATGCTGGGCAACAACTCCCATGTTCCTCATCATTAGACATCATTAGTCTAGAGCTGGTAGGTGTTGTTGTGCAATCACATCCGGAAGGCTGTGGATATGATGCTTGGCTTTAAAATGTTTTTTTTTTACCTTTTCTCAACCTCAGAGCCACAAGTGCTATTGGGTTGCAATTTCCATGATCCCCAGCCTGTGTGGCCAGCAATAATGGGAAGTTATTGTTCGATAGCATCTGGAGATCCAAATTTATTTACGACAGTTCTATCCCGCCTTTCTCAAGCTTGGAGGGGACTACACATAGGCAACTATTAGACATCTTAAAACAATATACAATTAAAATAAACATTTAAGAAATAGAATTATAAAATGCATTAAAACATTTAAAAATATTTAAAACAATAACTTCACCATTAATCACGGTATCCACAGTCGTAATCTGGGCCATTCCAAAAGTCTTTGCACATAACTCCATATCTATCTATTGCACAGTTTTTCCAAAGGCTTGATCGCAAAGCCATGTTTTCTCTCTCTTACAGAAGGTCAGCAGGGAGGGGGCTGATCTAATAGCCCTAGGGTGGGAGTTCCACCACTGAGAAGGCCCTGTCTCTCATCCCTGCCAGTCGTGCCTGTCAAAGAGGCAGGACTGAGAGCAGGGCCTCCCCAGACGATCTTAAACTCCGAATTGGTTCATAGAGGGAGATACATTCGGACAGGTAAACTGGGCCAGAGCTGTTTAGGGAAGAGTTTCTCAGCCTTCCTAATGCCACAACCTCTCAATACAATTCCTCATGTTGTGGTGACCCCTAACCGTAACATTATTTTTGTTGATACTTCATAACTGTTATGAATCGTCATGTAAATATCTGATATGAAGGATGTATTTTCATTCACTGGACCAAATTTGGCACAAACGACCGATATGCCCACATTTGAATACTGGTTTTTGATTTTGTCATTCAGAAGTTGTAGTTGCTGGGATGTATAGTTCACCTACAATCAAAGAGCATTCTGAACTCCACCAACGATGGAACTGAACCAAACTTGGCACACAGAACTCCCATGACCAACAGAAAATACTGGAAGGGTTTGGTGGGCATTGGCCTTGAGTTTTGGAGTTGTAGTTCACCTACATCCAAAGAGCACTGTCAACTCAACATGCCCAAATGTGAACACTGTTGGAATTTGGGGAAAATAGAGCTTGAAATTTGGGAATTGTAGTTGCTGGCATTTATAATTAATCTGTAATCAAAGAATTGGGCCAAACTTCCCACACAGAACCCCCATGACCAACAGAAAATCTTGTGTTTTCTGGTGGTCTTTGGCGACCCCTCTGACACCCCCCTCATGATCCCTTCAGGGGTCCTGACCCCCAGGTCGAGAAGTGCTGGTTTTGGGCTTTATAGGCTAAAGGCAGCACTTTGAATTGTGCTCGGTATCAGACGGGCATTCAGTGGAACTGACATAACAGAGGGGTTGTGTGCTCCCTGTACACTGCTCTGGTGAGCAATCTTGCTGCAGCCCTTTGGACCATTTGATGCTTCTGAACAGTCTCCAAAAGCAAACCCATGTAGAGCATGTTGCAGTAGTCTATACATGATGGAACCAGCACATGGACCACCATGGACAAGTCTGATTTCCCAAGATAAGGGCACAACTGGCGCACAAGTTTTAATTGTGCGAATGCTCCCCTGGCCACTGCTGAAACCTGGGGTTTCAGGCTCAGCAATAAGTCCAGGAGACCTCCCAAAATGGGTAAAGAGTACCAACCACTATGTATCTGTATCCACAGATTCTCCATCCATTGATTAAACAGCCCTTTGAAGGCAACTATAAGGCTGATGTGGACCTGGATGAAAATGAATTTGACACCCCTGAAATAAGAGCATTAAAGGGCATCTTACTTACTCCCTCATAGCTCAAGGATGATTGTCTTCCAGATGTGGTGTCTTGGCGGTGGGTTCATAGGTAGCTGTGGAGCCCTATTCTTGATCCGCATGTTCTTCTGCAGTGAGGACATCAGTTTCCAGACGGTCAGGGTTGGCTTGACATACCTTCCTCTTGGCATGTTTCTTCCTTTCACCCTCCATTTGTGCTTCTTCAAATTCTGCAGCACTGCTGGCCACAACTGACCTCCAGTTAGAGAGCTCAAGGGCCAGGGCTTCCCAGTTCTCAGTGTCTATACCACAGTTTTTGAGGCTGGCTTTAAGCCCATCTTTAAATCTCTTTTCCTGACCACCAACATTCTGTTTCCTGTACTTGAGTTTGGAGTAGAGTAACTGCTTTGGGAGATGGTGATCGGGCATTTGGACAACATGGCCAGTCCAGCAGAGTCGATGGCGAAGGGCCATTGCTTCAATGCTGGTGGTCTTTGCTTCTTCCAGCACGCTGACATTTGTCCGCCTGTCTTCCCAAGGGATTTGCAGGATTTTTCGGAGGGAGCGCTGATGGAATCGTTCCAGGTGTTGCATATGACATTTGTAGACAGTCCACGTTTCGCAGACATATAGCAGGGTTGGGAGGACAATAGCTTTATAAACAAGCACCTTGGTATCTCTACGGATGTCCTGGTCCTCAAACACTCTCCGCTTCATTCGGAAGAATGCTGTACTCGCAGAGCTCAGATGGTGTAGTATTTCAATGTCAATGTTGACTTTTGTGGAGAGGTGGCTGCCAAGGTAGCGGAAATGGTCAACATTTTCTAATGTTACACCATTAAGCTGTATTTCTGGCATTGGAGAGGGATTGGCTGGTGACTGCTGGAAGAGCACTTTGGTTTTCTCAATGTTCAATGACAGGCCGAGCTTCTTGTATGCTTCTGCAAAGGTATTTAGAGTTGTTTGTAGGTCTTCTTCTGACTGCACACGGACGACATTATCATCAGCATATTGGAGTTCTGTAACAGATGTTGTGCCCATGGTTTCGGCTTTTGGTGATAGTATGATAGCTGGGTCTGGAAGCTCCGAGTGTTACGGAGATGCTGCAAAGGCGGCTGTGAATAAGGGAAGAGAGGAGGCGGAGTGAGAGTGGGGAGAGCAAAAGAAGGATAGAAAGGAGGGAACACAGGGTAAGGGCTAGGGCAAGGTTTAGGGTATGGGTTAGGGTTACAGATAGGGTAAGGGGTTATGGTTAGGGTATGGTTTAGGGTTTGGGTTAGCATAAGGGTTTATTATTATTATTAAGGGTTGGGGTAAGGTTTTGGGTTTGGGTTTGAGTTACAGTTAGGGTACGGTTTAAGGTTAGGGTAAGGTTTAGGGTTTGGGTTAGTGTAAGGGTTTATTATTATTATTAAGGGTTAGGGTTAGGGGTTATGGTTAGGGTACGGTTTAGGGTTAGGGTAAGGTTTGGGGTTTGGGTTAGCATAAGGGTTTATTATTATTATTAAGGGTTGGGGTAAGGGTTAGGGTAAGGTTTAGGGTTTGAGTTAGCGTAAGGGTTAGTTTAAGGGTTAGGGTAGGGGTTTGGGTACAGTTTAGAGTTAGGGTAAGGCTTAAGGTTTGGGTTAGTGTAAGGGTTTGGGTAAGGGGTCAGGCTTAGGTTTATGGTATGGTTCAGGGCAGGCTACATGCCGGGGGGGGGGTGGCTTTGGGGGCTTCAGCCCCCCCCCCCGAAATTCTCAGGGTGGTCCGCGAGAAGGCCTTACTGGTACATTATTTAAACTGTTATGTTTATTCATATCATGATCTGATCACCATGCTCAATATATCCCATATGCATGGGGGTATTGGGGTAACGATACAAAAGGTTGTAGACCCTCTTTCACTCAGACTCAGCCCCCCCCCGAATCAAACTCAGCCCCCCCCCCCGAATCAAACTCCTGGCTACGGGCCTGGTTCAGGGTTAGGGTTCCACCACTAAAGAACTCTTACATTCCTTCTATATTATCTGTCTCCGGCCTGGCTTGCATTAGCTAAGTCTCTCTTGCGCAAACAGCGCTCCCGAAAGAGCGATGCGGCATCTCCGTAACGCTCAGAGCTTCCGGACCCAGCTATCCGACTATTGTCCGGCTTTCATCCTACATGTGCCTGTTTCGGCTTGGTTCTCTATGAGACAGAATCGGGACATAGTTCAGCACTTACCAGGCATGAGCAAACTTCGGCCCTCCAGGTGTTTTGGTCCAAAACACCTGGAGGGCCGAAGTTTCCTCATGCGTGGCTTATGCCAATGCCTCGCGTTGCTTTTGGACTGTGATGGAAACCCAAGCAGCGTTTGGAGTTGTTGAACTTGGCGTGTTGTTGTTCGTGGGCTCCTCCCGCTCTCCATCCGCCCTCGCTCCCGCCCTCCACGCCCCCGCCCCCCTTCCCCCGCGCACTTGCTTGCTTGCTTCCCTCCTTCCCCGAAGGGCTGAACTTTGTCCCTCCCCACGAAGAGGTTGCAGCCCACTCGCGGAGGCGGAGCCAACAACTTCCCCGGCGCTTCCTTCACTCGGATTTGGAGGCGCTGCCTGGATTGAGTGAGTGAGTGGAAAGACAGAGAGAAGCGCGAGTGGGAAGAGAAGAGAAAGAAAGGAAAGGCAGGGAGGAAAGAGCGGGGGTCTCCGGATCGCGCGTGGGAAGCGACGAAGAAGCATCAGGTTTCCTCCTCGCCGCGGTCGCGAGGGAAAGGCCCCCCATATGGGCCGGTGAGGGCGAAGAAGAGAGGCGGGGATCGGCTGGAGGGCCATGCTGGCCGGGCGGGCAAGGAGAGCCACTCTCGAGCCCATCGTCCGCGCGGAGGGGACTCCCTAAAAGCCCGGAGGGTGCTTCTCCTCTCTCCCTCCTCCATGGAGGCCAGCGGGAGCAGCCCGGACTCGAGCCGAGGCCAGCGCCTGAGCGTCGGGGAGCTGCGGTCGCTCTTCGAGGCGCGCTGCGTGGCCGCCGCCCAAGGCACGCCGCTGCCCGAGGCGGCGCAGAAGGGCTGCCCGCGGCCCCGCAACGGGGTGCTCCCGCCGGTCATCCCGCAGCTGACGGTGACGCCCGAGGACGAGGAGGAAGGCAAGGGAGGTCCCCGGAGCCCCGCCGGAGGAGGAGGGTGCCGGTCAGGCGAGCCCGAGGGCGCCTGGCTGAGCACCGAGAGCGGCGCCCTCCTCCCTTCCACGCGGCGCCTCTCCACCTCCTCGCTCTCCTCCACGGGCTCCTCCTCGCTCTTCGAGGACTCCGAGGACGACCTGCTCAGCGACACCGAGGGCAGGAGCCAAGGCATCGTCCACCTCGAGCACGGCGAGGAGACCCACCAGGTGAGCAGGGGGAGGAGGAGGGGGAGGAGGAGGAGGGGGAGGCCTCACGGGAGAGGGATGGGAAAGCGCCCCCACAGATGGCTAGCCATAGAACTCTAGAGTTGGAAGAGACCCCGTGGGCCATCCGGTCCAACCCCCTGCCAGGAAGCAGGAAAATCGCCTTCAAAGCACCCCCGACAGTTTCCCATCCAGCCCCTGTTTAAAAGCCTCCAAAGAAGGAGCCTCCACAACAATCCAGGGCAGAGAGTTCCACTGCTGAACAGCTCTCATCTTCAGGAAGTTCTTCCTCATGTTCAGGTGGAATCTCCTTTCCTGTAGTTTGAAGCCATTGTCCCCTGTTCTGGGAAAGTGCCCGGACAGGTGGCCAGCCATTGAATCATAGAATAATAGAATCTATGAACCAGTTCCTAGGTTAAGATCTTCCGGGGAGGTCCTGCTCTCGGCCCCACCGGCCTCACAAGTGTGGCTGGTGGGGACGAGGGACAGGGCCTTCTTGGTGGTGGCGTCACGGCTGTGGCACTCCCTCCTGAGCGAGATCAGGTTGGCCTCTTCCCTCCTGACCTTTAGGAGACAGCTAAAGACCTGGCTGTGGAACCAGGCGTTCAGCCCATTGTGGTTATTGTTTATTCGTTCAGTCGCTTCTGACTCTTCATGACTTCATGGACCAGCCCACGCCAGAGCTCCCTTTCAGCTGTGGCCATCCCCAGCTCCTTCAGAGTCAAGCCAGTCACTTTAAGGATACCTTCCATCCATCTTGCCCTTGGTCTGCCTTTTTTCCTTCCAACAACAACGACAAAACAACACAACAACTTTATACCCCACCACTATCTTCCCAAGAGACTCAGGGTGGCTAACATGAGGCCGTTCTGACTGTGAGAGCTGTTCAGCAGTGGAACTCTCTGTTTCAGAGTATGGTGGAAGCTCTTCCTTTGGAGGCTTTGAAACAGAGGCTGGATGGCCCTTGATTTGACTTGATTTGATTGTGCCTTTTCTACATGGCATGGGCTAGATGGCCTATGTGGTCTCTTCCAACTCACAATCAAAAGACAAGATCAAATGAAAAGCAGTATTTATTTATCGTATCAGAAGCAAACAGAGGGTAAAGTTGTAATGTATTTTAAAAAACACAGAGTTTAAAAAACTTGGCATGATACTAAATGTCCTTTGACCAGTAGCTGGCCACTTGGAGTGCCTCTGGTGTTGCTGCAAGAAGGTCCTCCATTGTGCATGTGGCAGGGCTCAGGTTGCATTGTAATAGGTGGTCTGTGGTTTGCTCTTCTCCACGCTCACAGGTTGTGGACTCCACTTTGTGGCCCTGCATCCCATGTCTCCAGAGCGCAGTCTGTTTAGTGCCTTCCAAGTCGCTCAGTGAGTCTGAGGTATCACTTAGAGGGCATCTACACTGTGGAATGAATGCAGCTTGACACCACTTTCACAGCTCATCGACTCCTCAGGTTGGGAAAGACCCCCCACCCCCAGGGCATCCACTCCAACCCCATTCTGCCAGGCCAAGAGCACAAATCAAAGCATTTCTGATAGATGGCCAACCAACCTCTGCCTAAAGACCAAGTGTGCATAGAATCACAGAGTTGGGAGGAACACACAATCAAAGGGCAAGATCAATTAAAGAGCACTGAGGTATCACTTCGGAAGCCTCTATTCCAGGCCTGGGCAAACTTGGGCCCTCCAACTGTTTTGGACTTCAACTCCCACAATTCCTAACAGCCTCAGGCCTCTTCCTTTTCTGCTTAAGTGGCTGAGGGGGAAAAGGAAAGGGCCTGAGGCTGTTAGGGAGTTGAAATGATGGGAGTTGAAATCCAAAGCACCTGGAGGGCCCAAGTTTGCCCGGGCTTGATATATGCTGTAGAAAGAATGTATGCAGTTCAACACTGTTTTCATGTGGCTCATAGAGATTCCAGTCCAGCCCCATTCTTCCAGGCAGGAATACAGAATCAAAACACTCTTGTTCTTAGATAGCCACCCAGAATGTGTCAGACTCTGTCAGTCACTTGTTGCATAATATCTAATTAAGAAGCATGATGGCTTCTCAAGAATAAACTTTGCATACCTTTCAGCATACCACAGATGGAAACTAGGGACTTGTCTAAATTGGCACCTCCAAGAAAAAACAAAAAAAAATAAAAATAATAAAAATAAAATAAAAACCAGACTCATAGAATGAAAACTCATAGAATGTGGGTTGCTGTGAGTTTCCCAGGCTGTATGGCCAAATTCCAGAAGCATTCTCTCCTAACATTTCACCATATCTATGGCAGGCATCCTCGGAGGTTGTGAGGATGCCTGCCATAGATGTGGGTGACATTTCCGGAGAGAACGCATCTCAAACATGGCCACACATCCCGGAAAACTCTAAGCAACCCAGTGATTCTGGTCATGAAAGCATTCGACAACAAACTCATAGAATCTTGGAGTTAGAAAAGACCACAAGGGCCACCCAGTCCAACTACTTTCCATATAGGAACACCCAGTCAAAGCAGAGCAGGAAAAGGGGCGTCAAGCTGCACTCATTCTACATCATTGATGTGCCCAGGGTTAGAGCAGTGTGATACTACTTTGAATGCCTCAAGTCCATATTATCATGTCCTAGAAATTCAGGGTTCCCCAGACGCTAGTCCTCCAGGTGTTTTTGTACTTCAACTCCCAAAAGCCTCACCTGCTGTGGCCAATGATTGGAGAATCTGGGAACTGACGTCCAGAAAACCTGGAAGACCAGTGTTTGGGAGATACTTCAACCAGAGTATCCTAAATCCCTCAACATCAAACCTGGAATTCCAGAGTTCGGAAAGATTGGACTAGAGCCTTTTCCAGACAGGTCCTATATCCCAGGATATGATTCTATGTTTTCTGCTTTAATCTGGATTATATGAGTCCACACTGCCAGATAATCTGGGATAAACAGAACCCCTGGGATCAGATCCTGGAATATAGGGCCTGTCTGAAAGGGCCCTTGTACTGCTGTCGTGGTTTAGAATAGATTCTGAGTGTCCCCCTCTGTATTCAGTGGGTCTTACCTCTAAGTAAGTGAACCTCCTGTTGCATATTTGCTGTAAATAATTCTTTGTACATTTAAGAAAAGCACAAATACTACATATTTCAATCAATGCATCATAGTTCGATCATTTCATAGAATTCCAGCAGATTCTCAGGATATGTGGGATGCATGGGGGTGGAAACGTATGAGTGGCTGCCACATGTGTCACTGAAATACTCAAGGGAAGGTCTGTCTGCGTGACAAATACACCTTCCACACGGTTTTAGGAATAGTGCTTTATGGATTAGAATAACTTGCAAAGTGGCATTGAAGCCACTTTAAATGAGTAGAATATCAACACAATCCCACTTTGCACAGAACATGATGTGCAGTGTGATTATATATATGTTATATAACCAGTGCTCTGGGTTTCTATAGTGGTGCATCTAACCAACATTCCCCCCCACGTATTATTATCTCGGCAAAGATGAAACCAGCACTCTTTCCTTTTAAGTCAGAGGGAGCTTCCCCCCCTTTTTGTGTATCTGCAACACCCACTCAGTTGGACCCGAGCCACAGTTGTCTTGTCAAAAAGGGATGAATTGAGTCTCCAGAAAACTTGAGACTGTGGCAGTTCATCTTTTACATAGGCTTCTACACTGTGTAACATCTAAAAAGTCCATGTTTTCAAAGACAGACGTAGTTATTGCTTCTTCCAGTTATGTTTTCTTTATGTTTTGGTACTTTGTTAGGCCTCACGTGCTCTTAACTTCAATTTGAAGAAGAACTTGGAAGAGGCACAGGGGTTTATATTGAGTAGTTTTACTTACATAAATTGCTTCTATTTGTGTTTTATGCTCATTTACTAAAGGGAAATATGCCAGTTTGGAAGCAGACTTCTGGTCCATCCTAATTCTGATAATGGGCAGCTAATAAGTGATTGATGTATTGAAGTAGGTTTTAAGAGCTACTGTGGTTTAGAAAAAATTGTTTATTTAGGACTGCCTGTAGTGTGTAATGAGTTAGAAAGACTTCTTAGATCTGTTCAACTAGTGCTACTCTAAATTGGTTGCCCATGGACTAATGCCATAGAACACTAGTTTGGCAAGTTTCCATGAAAAGAAAAATAATTACAGTCATTGGGGAATGTATTGTACTGGTCCCTGGCACAGTGCAGAAAAATGCTGACCCTGCACATTTGCTTGCTGGAGATGCACTGTATTAGAGGACAAAGTGGAAGGCATTCTCTATGTGACTTCGTCAGACCTATTATGACAGTATTCCTACCCTCTCTCCCCCTCTACGTGAAAATTGTAGTCTTGATGAGCCAGTTAATGAACTTCATTTTATTTAGACCTATATAAATCATATGGTTTGTTTCTACATTAAATATGAAGAAAAATAAAATCACATTATAGTGGATGGTTTAATATCAATCCAGGGAGTAAGCATTTCTTATAAATCTGCTATGAAAAAGTTGTAGCATATCAGATAGGTGAAAGAGGGTATTTTTCCCCTCACAACTACTGGTTTGAATTTAATTAGTGATTCTCAAATTTTTTTATTGCCATAATTACTTTCCAGTCCATGTATGAAATTGCAGGACTAGAGTAGATTGTTTGCCTGAGTCTAGCAGTGACTAACTGTTGAATGTTTACTTCAGTTGTGGAATTGTATCTATTGTCATGACTCCCTTTAAGCAAGTGTTTCTCAACCTTCCTAATGCCACGACCCCTTAATACAGTTCCCCTTGTTGTGGTAACCCCCAAGCTTAACAATATTTTTGTTGCTACTTCATTACTGTAATTTTGCTACTGTTATAAATTGTGATGTAAATATCTGATATGCTGGATGTATTTTCATTCACTGGATCAAATTTGGAACAAATACCCAATATGCCCTCATTTGAATACTGATGAGGTTGGTGGGGGGTGGGTGGGTTGATTTTATCATGTGGGAGTTTTAGTTGTCAGGATTTATTGTAAACCTACAATCAAAGAGCATTCTG